CCAAGGAGACACTGAGGTTTGGGGACCCCCAGAGACAGGGACACTTGGGGACGTAGAGGCACAGCTCCACAGAGGGACAGCAAAGCTCAGGGACAACCAGGGAGACCCCTGGGGACACCAAGGTCCAGCCCTCCACAGGGCCACTGAGATATGACACAGGGACACCAAGGTTTGGGGACAAAAGAGATGCTTGGGGACAGCAGCACCCCACACATGGGGAGACATGGTGATACCCCAGAGATGGGAACAGGGAGAACTTTGGGACACCAAGGCACAGGTGACATCCAGGGACCGGGCTGAGGGGGCAATGGGGCTCAGGGGACACCTGGGGACCCAGCTGAGGGGACAATGTGGCTCAGGGGACACGCAGGGACCAAGATGAAGGGACAATGTGGCTCAGGGGACACCTGGAGACCAAAGATGAGGGGACAATGTGGCTCAGGGGACATCAGGGGACCAAAGATGAGGGGACAGTGTGGCTCAGGGGACATCAGGGGACCAAAGATGAGGGGACAATGTGGCTCAGGGGACACCTGGGGACCCATCTGAGGGGACAATGTGGCTCAGGGGACACACAGGGACCAAAGATGAGGGGACAATGAGGCTCAGGGGACACCTGGGGACCAAAGATGAGGGGACAGTGTGGCTCAGGGGACACCTGGAGCCAAAGATGAGGGGACAGTGTGGCTCAGGGGACACCTGGGGACCAAAGATGAGGGGACAGTGTGGCTCAGGGGACACCTGGTGACCCAGCTGAGGGGACACCGAGGGTGCATGTAAGCCGAGGAGCAGGCACAACGGGGCACTCTTCCCTGGTGGCAGTGGCACCCCATTGTCCCCCGGTGCCGGTGGCACTCACCAGTAGTTGGGGGCGGAGAAGACGGTGACACATTTGCCATCGTGGGCCACCTCGTAACCCTCGGGCTTCACCTCGTGGCTGCGGATGATGTAGTCGAGGTGGTTGCGCTCCAAGAAGCTCTTGGTGACGTCGGGCCCGAACTGGCAGCTGACCCCGCGCTTGCTGACGGAGCGGCCGTTCTGTGGGGGACCCCAGGAGTCACCGGGGAGCTGGGGACACGTCCCCAAGACCGGGGAGGGGACGTTTTGGGGAGAGGGGGACACAGAGGGGGACCCACTGCCGGGGTTCAGCTCACCTGGGGCTGTGGGTCGGACCAGAGCAGGTCACACATGGGACCTGTGGGGGGAACAGAGGTAGGGGTCAGGGTCCCCCCGACTGCACCGGGGTTGGGGGGGACACACATTGTGGCCCCTGGGAGACAGTGGGGATGTCACAGGGTTGGGGGGACACACGGGGCACCCCTCGGGGGGGTCCATCTCCCCACCAGAATCCGGGGGCTGCCGGTTCCTCTCGATCTTCCGGATGTCATCGAGGGTGACGCCGTCCTCGCTGAAGAGACCCCCGTGCATGATCTGGGACACAAGAAGCCACGTGGGTACGGTGACAACGGGACAACGAGACACCCCCCCCTCCATCCTAACCCCAGTGGGGACCAACCCCCCAGGGGTGAGGAGGGACCCCAAACCCCTTGGGGACAGCAGGGATGGCGGGGACCCCCCTAACCCAAACCCCGCTAAGGACAGGGATCCCCCCAACTCTCTGGGGACAGTGATGGTGGGGAAACCCCCCCACCCCAACAGGGAGCTCTGAGGACATCCCGAGGACCAGGCTGTGGGACAGGGGCCACGGACACGGTGTCCCCTCACCAGCACTTTGCCGTTGATGCACTGGGCCAGCGGGAGCCACTCGAAGACCTCACTGAAGAGGGCGAACATCTGGGCCGTGTACTTGGCCTTCACCTCCCCCTCGAAACCGTAGATCTGGTTCATGTTGTCCGTCTCGTGGTTCCCTGGGGGGGATATGGTGGCATTGCCAGGCCCGGTGGCATGGGGACAAAGCCCCACAGCTCAGCCCCACAGACGTGAGATGGGCAAGGAACGAGGCCCCACGACCCAGGATGGGGGACAAGGCGCAAGGTCCCAAGGACATGGCACATGGCCCCACAAATGGGGATGTGGCACCATGACCCAGGACAGGCCCCACAACCCAACAGGGGACCCATGACGCAAGGTGTAGCCCCACAAGTAGGGAAAGGGGACCAAGCTCCGTGACCCAGGACATAACGTGACCCCATGAGCTGGTCCTATGGCTGGGGACACAGGGTCTAGCCCCACAAGTAGGGAAAATGGATCCATCTCAGTGACTTGGGACAGATAACATGACCCCATAAGATGATCTAAGGCTGGGGACAGAAGTTGTAGCCTCACAAGTAGGGAAAGGGGACACAGCTCCATGACCCAGGACAGATAATGTGACCCGGTGAGCTGGTCCTATGACACGGGTGTGGGACGAGACCCCCCCAACTGGGGAACGTGGCCTCACAACCCAGGATACGTGGACGAGGACTCGTCACCCGCGGTGGTGGCCGCGTTACCTCGGAGAAGGTGGAAGTGATCAGGATAGAGGAGCTTGAAGCCGAAGAGAGTGAGGATGACCTCGACCGAGAAGGACCCGCGGTCCACGAAGTCCCCGTTGAATATCTGCAACCAGGTCAGGAAAACAGGTCCCCAAGGTCCCCCTCCCCTCATGTCACCCCTGCCCCTCCCTGTCCCCACCACAGGGGTGGGAACGATCCCGGTGAGACCCCCCGAGGTGGAGACAGCTCAACCCCGCTCCCTCCTGGGGGGGGTGGATACATAAGGGTTTGACTCGGAGGGCAGCCCGTTGAGCTCGAAGATGTTCAGCAGGTCGTAGTACTGCCCGTGGGTGTCCCCACACACCGTCACCTTCTCTGTCTGCGTTTGGGATGGAATGTCACCACTTGGAGACTTTGTCATCCCCGTCCCCCCCAACACACACACAGCGACACCGTCACCCGGCGAGGGGCACCCACCTCCTTCAACGTCGTCTCTACTAAAGTGGGGAGCTTGGCCAGCACCTCCTTCACCTGCACCAGGATCTGCCGGGGCAAAGGGTCAGCAGAGGGGACAACGTGTGGCACTTGAGCCCAGCGGGGGGACTGGGGGGACCAGAGTACCTGGTAGGCACATTTTCTGTGGAGTTTCTTCTGCTCCTTGTACCACTGCATCAGCTCCTTCATGAAATCCAACGTCACCTTGCCACCGTCCAGCTTGGGGCCGCTGTACTCGTCCTCGATGGCTGCAAAATGAACCCCACTGGTGGCCAACGACACAAGGGGACAGCAGGGACAAGTCCCCAAAGGACCATCACGCCCCTGCCATCCTTCCCCACAAGCTCACAGCCCTGACAAACCCTGGTAGCCTTCTGGGGACACCGAGCCTTGGCTGGGGACCCTTCTAGGGCCACCACCGCTTTGCTGGGCACCCTGAGACCCTTGCAGGGAAGCCAAGACCCTCACGGGGACCCTGAGAATCTCATGGGGGTCCCCAAGACCATAGCAGGGATGCCAAGACCCTTCCAGGGACACTCACCCTCTGCTGGGAATCATCATGGGTGCCCCAAGACCCTCCCGGGGACCCTTCTGGGTAAATTAAATCTCTGCTTTGGACTCTCATGGGGACCCCCTTCCTGGAGACCCTGACAGCTCCTTGAGGCTGCCCTTGGGACGTGAAGCCTCCTCTGAACCCCCCAAGATCCACCCAGGTGACGCTAAGCTTTTGTCAGGGATCCTCACAGGGACCCCCAGCCTCTTCTAGGGCCCCTCACAGACCCCCAAGACCCCCATGGGGATGCTGGTCCTTTGCTGGGAACACTCACGGTCCCTCCTAAGACTCTCACTGTCCTCACTTCCACCCCGAAAAATTCCAGAGACCTCCAAGACTCTCAGGACACCCTCCCAGGATCCTCCCAAGGGACCTTGACCCTTGGTTGAAGGCCCTCAAAGCCTTCCTGAGACCCACAAAGTGACCTCCAAGCCCCCCACGTAAACCCCAGAGTGGACTCTGAACCTTTACTGGGGACCCTCACGGTCTCCCTCATCCTTCCGCCCTACCCCGTAGAGAAAGGGGTGCCTTGATTTTTTTTTTGGGGGGGGGGGGGAACGACTCACTCATGCTCTCGATGTCGAGGGAGTCGACGACGGAGCGCTTGTGCTCGTCGCTGGCAATTGCCCGCTCGAAGGCCTTCTGCTTGACAATCTTGTGACATTCCTGGTACTTCAGCTTGGCGTCCTTGTCATTGGGCCTCACCTTCACCACCTGGGGACACACACACACACACACACACACACACACGTCAGGGGATGGGGGACAACCCCTCCCCGGGCCCCCTCAAGGGTCCACGGCACCACCCAGACTTCAGCAGCACCCCCAAGAGGGGACAGGGACAGAAGACCCTTGGATGTGAGGGCTGGGCTGACGCCGGGAGGGACGAAGAGGTCCCCAAATGTCCCCACAGCTCTGGGGCTCATGCTGACGTAGGCGAAGAGGGGGGACAGGGGCGTCCCTGAGTGTCTTCACAGCTCCTCAGAGTGGGGAGCAAGGGTGTTCCCAAGGGTCCCTGCAGCTCCGGGGGACATCCTGGCACCACTCAGGGTGTCCCCAAGTGCTCCCTCAGCTCTAGGGAACATGATGACACTGGGAGGTGACAGGAAGGTCCCCAAGGGTCCTCCCCCAGCTCTAAGGGACATGCCGACACCGGGGAGGGGACCAGGGGGTCCCCAAGAACCTCCCCCAGCTCTAAGAGCATGTGCTGACACCAGGAAGGGGACAAGAAGGTCCCCTAAGGGGACACACTGACACCGAGGGGGTCCCAAAGCCTCTCCTGATCTCCAGGGGGGGACATGTTGACACAAAGGGGATCACCAAGCCCTCCCAATCTCCAGGGAGGGGACAAGGGGGTCCCAAAGCCTCCCTGGATCTCTGGGGGGGACACACTGACACCAAGGGGGTCCCAAAGCCTCTCCTGATCTCGGGGTGGGGGAGGGCACATTGACACAAAGGGGACCCCAAAGCCTCCCTGGATCTCGGGGGGGGCGGGGACGACACTGACACCTTTTGTCAGGGAGCCTCACAGGGACCCCCAGGGACACCAAGCCTCCTCTAGGGACCCTCCCAGACCCCCAAGACCCCCCATCGGGATGCTGAGCCTTTGCTGGGAACACTCACAGCCCCCCCCCCTAAGACTCTCAATGTCCTCATTTCCACCCCAAAACTCTTTCCAGAGACCTCCAAGACAATCATGAGACCCCTCCAGGATCCCCCCAGAGACCTTGACCTAAGACTCTCACCGTCTTCACTTCCTTACTTTGGGTCTCCAAAAAAAAAAATAAATCTTTCTGGAGACCTCCAAGACTCTCATGAGACCCCACCCCCTTGACCTGAGACTCTCACCGTCCTCACTTCCACCCCAAAAATCTCTCCAGAGACCTCCAAGACTCTCATGAGGACACCCACGCCCAGGATCCTCCCAAGAGACCTTGACCTAAGACAAGACTCACCCCCCCAGGATCCTCCCAAGGGATCTTGACCTAAGACTCTCACCGTCCTCACTTCCACCCCAAAAATCTCTCCAGAGACCTCCAAGACTCTCATGAGGACACCCACGCCCAGGATCCTCCCAAGGGATCTTGACCTAAGACTCTCACCGTCCTCACTTCCACCCCCAAAAATCTCTCCAGAGACTTCCAAGACTCTCCCGAGACCCCTCCAGGATCCCCCCAGGGACCTTGGTCTAAGACTCTCACTGTCCTCACTTCCTTACTTTGGGTCTCCAAAAAAAAAAAATAAAATCTTTCTGGAGACCTCCAAGACTTTCATGAGACCCCACCCCCTTGACCTAAGACTCTCACCGTCCTCACTTCCACCCCAAAAATCTCTCCAGAGACCTCCAAGACTCTCATGAGGCTCCCCCAGGATCCTCCCAAGTGACCTTGACCCTTGCCTGAAGACCCTCAAAGCCTTCCCGAGACCCTCAAAGTGACCTCCAAGCCCCCCATGGAAACCCCAGAGGGGACCCTGAACCTTTAACTGGGGGGACCCCTCATCCTTCCGACCCCAAAGCGGTGCCTCACCGTCTCGTAGTCTCGGAGGGCGGCCTTGAACTTGCCCAGGGCCATGTTGCTGGCGGCCCGGCGGTAGTAGCCCTTGACGTACTTCTTGTCCAGCTCGACGGCCCGCGTGGCGTCGGCCAGGGCGTAGCCGTAGCACTCGGTGCGCAGGTAGGCCAGGCTCCGGTTCCCATAGTAGATGGCGTTGGTGGGGTTCAGCTCGATGGCGCTGCTGTAGTACTTCACCGCGTTCTCGTAGTCCTTCCCTGGGCCCCCGATGGCATCAGTGGGGCAGGTCCCGCCCCCCCCCACCTCACCGCCTATGGGGAGCCCTGACCCCCCTTCCCCAGGGACCGGCCTCCGCTTCCCTCATGGCTCCCTATCTGGCAGCCTCCCACTGCCCCCCGTGGCTCCCTATCTGGCAGCCTCCCACTGCCCCCCATGGCTCCCTATCTGGCAGCCCCCCATTGCCCCCTGTGGCTCCCTATCTGGCAGCCCCCATGATCCTCTATGGCTCTCTATTTGGCAGCACCCATACTCTCCATCTGGCAGCCCCCCATTG